ACTTCACGTTTTCAACTATAGTCATCTTCAACAAGCTCAAGCTCAGCCTGTTCGACCTCTCTCAAGCTTCACAAAGAGTTTTTTCCTCTTCAGTACTGATCTCTATGATGAATGCAGGCTCTTGTTCCATAATGATTACTAGGTCTAAGTCCATAACACCTAACTAGAATGAAACTTGTTCAGCCCAATCATCATAATTGAGCCCATTGAACTTGATTACGCCATTGCTCATGCCATACGTATTCATAGGAACTGAAATATTTAACACATGCTTAAACATTTATGCTTTGAATAAACTTGATGGATTTAGACAGTCAACTATCATCAATTATATATCTAAGTTTACCTTTGGGTAATACCTAAATACACAATTTATCTATAATGATGCTAAATAAATAACTTTAATTGACAATCAGTCACTCAAACCAATATATAAGTCATTTTTGGATGTACAAACATATTATGAAGTGTATTCATGTCTCCTTAATGTTATTAATCATATGCAATGATCCACCTTTGAGTGATCTCCTAACGTTATGATTAATGAGCTAAATTGTTCACCCTTTATGTTATCACATAGCATCAAATAATTTTGAACAATTTACAATACACAATTAAATGATTCAACAAAATTTTTTAAAGTCAGGCCACTTTGGTGACTAACAAGCTCCCCTTAAAATTAAGCACTAATTGTGAAGTTTCCATTATGATCATACAACTTAGAATTAATTAATTTAAAAATTTAATTACTTTGGTGAGTAAAACCCACTTTGATGTAATTCTAAAGTGATCTATAACTTTTATGAATTATGTTCCTCATTTTGCCGTAAAATCACTATGCACGGTTGTGCTTTTACTTGATGTATGGTCGTGCTTCCATTATGCAAGGTCGTGCTTGTTCCTGATGTGTGGCCCTGCTCCCTAATGCATGGCCCTACTCACTGATATATGGCCCTACTCATAGATATATGACCCTGCTCATATTACAGATTCAAAACCTAACGTTTCTAGCTTCCAAAACTTTAGGGTTTTCAATTATTGAATCCAAAATAATTATTTAACATCAAAATTATGTCAATTTATCATATAAAATACCTAGGGTTCATGTAATTTGGAAAAAACTTTAATGGAGAATCAATCTTCTTTTATGGAGAATCAACGAAATTCATCTTGCTCTGATACCAACTGTTAGAATTTTCTTATTCCATTATGTAATTTCCATTAAATACATCTATTATAAAATTACCATTTTCCATTTAATCTTGAATTACGTTGTTCTCACAACACGGTACATGGTGCTCACTCAATCAAGGGTTTAGAGAGCACTAACCTGATTCTATTGTTCCTTGATGTTACCTCTCTGTTTGATGTCATTGATCCCTTTATGTTTTTTCCAACTCTTCCTTCCTTTTTTAACTCCTCTCGGATGGTTGAGAGAAAGTTCATTTCTTGTATTTACCGTGAGCATACTTAGAGACCATGAAAGTGATAGAGAATATAGAATACCGTAACCTCTATTTGGTAACTGCTTTTTTATTTATTTGAAGGGAGAGGGGAGGGTTTCCTTATAATTGTATTTACAATTATACCCTCAATAACTCTATATTTTATATTTAACCACCATCACATTAAATCATTAATTAGAGTCATGTATAAGTTACATAGGCCACTATAATAAGATTATTAAAAATAATCTAACACCTCAACTTGATAAGATTGTCTTCAATAGCAAAGAATACATGTAAGTTATACAGTAAAGAAATACCACCTTATTTTTTATATGTTCACACAAAGATACAAAAACTAAGAAATTCAATTATTGTATTAGAATTATTTGTTGATTTTTTTAATTTACTCCTTATTTTTTGGTAAACTTTCTAATAAAGTAGATATTTTTTAAAATAATATATAATTTTTATTATTTTTGATAAATTAATTTTTTTTTATGAATAAGCCTAGAAGTAATAATTTTTTAAAATAATTTTTTATGTATATCTAAAAATACACAATAAAAAATTAATAAATAAATTTATTATGAATTATAAAATGTATTGTTATCAATATGTTAAATCTTGTGATTTTTAATGAAAAATTATTATATATAGATTTTTATTATGTCATTAGACAGGTATTAGAAAAACTAATTTGACAAGTTACTCTTAAACTATTTTCTTTTTTACAATTTTTCTAGTATATATATATATATATGGTGAAGACTAGAATGAGTTTACAGATTAAGTAATTCATAAATAAGTTAGCAAAATGACCTGTTATAGCATATTTTAAAAATTTGAATATTTAAAAATTAATTCTTAATAAATTTTGCAGATAAAAGATCTCAATTTTTTAGATATTTAAAATATATCCTTCCTTAATCTAATTTTTTGTAAGGTTGTTATTTTAAAAAAAATATTTTGTTTAAGTGAAACTATATATTATATTCTCTCAAACTCACTTTTATCTTTATTTTTGAAGCAAGTTTAAGAATTTCTTTTATACTTTTGATGTAAAGTTCAACGATAAATTAAGTGACAGTGGTTGAAACTTATTTGATAAAAGTTTGAAAAGAGATATATAAGACAAGAAATCTAATGTAATTAAGTAATCCTCTATTAAAATATTATCCTAGAAGCTTTGTTCAATTTCTCCTTCTCGGGTTCAATTCCTCCTTATTTCCCCCTGCTTAAGAATATGGAAACCCATTTGTGAAATTTAACTTAAACCCTAAACCTACATAACCATTCTCTCTTTGAATTGTTATACTTTCAACTGTGATATTCGTAAGTGGAGATAATTAAATTTAAAAATATCATATATTCATCCCAATTATCTTATAAATTAATGTTTTAGTTTGCTCAGAATAGGTGTAAAGACTAAAGAGATTTTGTTGAACTAGTGACCTAAAATTGCTAGCTCAGTACTTAATAGAGAGGAGATTGATGACAATGACTAAATCATAACATATTAAAATTTTACAAACTAAATCTTAACTAAAAAAAATTATAAAAATTTATCACAAAATACACTATTTATTGGAACAACTCATATATTTAAGCCTTAAAATAATTAACTCATTGACTATCCTTCCAAAGATAAAGCTAGTTTAGTTTTGGTTTGCAAGTTGCTTCAAGAGGATTGAATGAAACAACCAATTTTATTAATACATCTATTTAATTATTAAATAAAAATATAATATAACTCATTATAGTGAGAAATGAAAGACATATTCGCTATATGCAATGTTATTTCACTTAAGTCATAATTATTTCGCTTAAGCAAAAATTGGTTATAATGTAAGGGTTTTTTTAGTCTTATATTTGCTTAAGCGAATAGTATAATATCTTTAATGGCTTAAGCAAATGAATTATCGCTTAAGCGAAATAATTCCCATGAGCCATTTTTGCCCTATAATTTTTACTTAAGCTAGAAAAAATTATACAAATTGTATCCCTCTTTCTAAGATTCAAGCAGTTTATTGCTTTTCTCCTTCTCCCTTATCCTTCGACCACCTATTCATCAAATTCTAGTAATTTGTTCTAACCTAAGTGTGGATTCGTTCCTAACGCCATAACCATTTTATTCCATTCTTTTTCCTCATACAAGCAATCTACCCCTATGTCTGTTTGTATAAATGGCTCTAACATTGCATTCTAAGCGTTAAACACAATTCAAGTTAATGCAGAATTGAACATGTTCTAACCCAAGTGTGGACTCGTTCCTAATGCCATAACTATTTTATTCCATTCTTTTTCCTCGTATAAGCAATCTACCATATGTCTGTATGTATAAATGGCCCTAACATTGCATTCTAAGCGCTAATCTCAATTTAAGTCAATGCAAAATTAAACATAAAGAGTATCTCATTCCTTTTAGGTTAGACACGACTGATGTCGAATAAAAGAAAGCACTAGGCTTAGAATGATCCACCTTAGTAGTCAAAGGTTCGAATCCATAATTAGCTTGTCTACATGCAGAAGACTTCTGGCCCTTATTTTGATAATAGTTTTTCTAGGGGAATAATCAAGAAGAGTGGATATATTGAACAATTTAAAAGAACTAACAATGAATTGAGACTATAACAGTGGATATGAAAGTTTTAATTCTAAAAATATTAACTTTATACGTAGAGTTTGTAGAGAACCTTAAAGATCTAAAATTACATTCTAATATTTTATTTATTAAAAAGTTGTTTTTAATTATATATTGAAACTACATTAGGGCATGTGAATGCATACTTTTTTAAAAGCACCACTTAGATACAAGATACACGTAGATGGAGTTTGGAAAAGATGATAGGATTTTGATGATAGAAAATAACAAGTTTTGAAAATATAAATTAAGAGATTTTGAAGATCTAAAAAGAAATATTATTAATTTTTATGGAAGATTAAATAATAAATATATAAAAATTAGTATTATAAGGTTATAGTAAAAAATCTGAACCGTTTATAAATTTTAAAATACATCTAACAGTCTAAAAAAATCACCCACCTATGAGTTACTTAGTTTGCTAACTCACTTTAACCTTCACCTATATATATAACATTAATTAAAATCACAAAATTAATACATATTTTTTTTATTGTGTGACCTTCACCACACTTTAAAGAAACTATTTTTTCAATACATGGAAATTAGGGTAACTATTCAATTGAATGATTGAATTTAGCCTTTTATTTTTTTATGTATCTTTTTGCATCTCAACAATTTATATTTAGAGTGAAAATGGATAAATAGCATAATTAAGGTTTTAATCAATAAACACTTATAATATGACAACGCTCAATAAGTCTGACAGGGAAACTTGTTAAAAGAAGATAAAAATGATTTATTTTAATAAAATTATTATTTATTAAGAGGAGAGCATCCTACTTTATTATCATAATATTTTTACAGATGTAACATCCGAAATTACTTTTTTTCCTCTGCAAAATAGCAACAAACTTAGATGGCACTTTATGAACTTTTTCATTTATAGAAACTATTCAGGAACAGAAAACGGTACTTGAACAAATGCATATCACAAAAGAAGAGAAGTCCATGACATATTTTTAGAGGAAGTTCAAGCAACATCTATTCAGAGAGGTTGGTATTTCTCAATTTGGAATAGCATAAGGTGAATGCTCGTATTTACCATCCCACCTGTTTGGAATTAGAGAACGAAATTTGGTTAAACAGATAAATTTAGTTTCAGAAAACATACTTATTGAATCAAAACTCAAACACCAACCAACCTGCATCCCTCACTTTGTGGAATCTGAAGCTCCAAATTCTTATCAAATGGCTGAAAGATCAAGTCCAACTTTCCATCCTCTACTTTTTCAAGCGATGAAGGTTCCCACTGAACAAGGTTGTAATTTAGTAATATAAAAAAGAAACAAGAATAATACATTTTTGGTCAAAATAAAAGACAATACTTATGGACATGATTTTGTTAATAGTCATTAGACTAAATGAGTGTGTGCGGTTAAAATACACATTTGATTATATAATGACACTCATTTATATATTAGTCCTTGTATTTAAAAAAACTTATATTTTAGTCCTTACAAGAGTATTTTGTTACGTTTTGATCCCTCTTACCATAACACCATTAGATAAATACTAAGAATGAACAGCAATTTTACTAATGGTATTATAATGACGGAGACCAAAATGTAACAAATATTAGGAGGACTAAAATACAAGTCTTTTAGATACAGGGACTCATTTGTAAGTAACCCACATGCACGCAAAATAATTGTCATTCCTTAATTGGCTTTGATGTATGCCTAAATGTTCTAACCAAATGTAACAGCAATGTTCCATTCAGGTTTTGATTACTAATCACAATAGAAAAAGAAAGGAATACAGAAATTAATGAATTAGTTTAACTCCCACTTTCATATCCAATAACTGAAAATAGGCAATTCCAGTACATATGGAAGGAACATGCATGCATGTTTCATAAGAGGAGAGAAAACAGAAAAAGAATACCTTTGGAGCATTATCCTTGTCAATGGTGAGAGCTCTAATTCCCTTCTCAAAAAAAAAAGAAAAAACAGCAGAAATTTGCTTCAGATTTTAGTAAGGAACAAGAAGTAAAAAAACTTTTAACAACATTGAACTACAATTACCTCATACATATCCTCAGATATTGTAGTTCTCAGTATATTCATTGTTAATCTGAATTCCTTTTCCAGACATTCAGATAGTGTTTGATCCCTTCCTTCACGAATCTGTACATATCCAAGACAGTTTATAGAAGCATGAAATTTGAGAAATAGTCTGTGAATCATACTTTTACAAGGTAAGCTTTTTCTTTCTCCCTCACTCCCCTCCTTCCCTTTCAATCGGTTTTGTGTCCAAAGACTCATAGTATGTTTGAGATCACGTTTGAATATGCTTTAAAAACTCATTAACATAGAAAGATACAACTAGTAGAGTTAGAGTAGGGCCCTGTTTGTTTTGGTGAGCTTGTGAATAAGTCATTGTAAGAGAAGAAAAACAATATAAAAAATGAATAAAACTTCTATAAGTTATAAATAACTTCTCTCTTTAAATTTTAGAGAAGTTAATTGAGAATAACTTCTGAAAATAGAGAAGTATAAGTTAATTTTAATTTATGGAAGGAGCTTTATTCATTATTTATATTATTTTTCTTCTCTTATAAGGATTTATCCACAAGCTCACCCAAACTGGGCCTAAATATGAATCCATGACCGATCAAACATGAATCCAAACATGTGATTAACTAGATTATGCAGTTACCATTTCTGTTCTTTCTCCATATTTATAGCATGTTTGGTTCAACATAATTCTAGGGAAATAATAACTTTTTTTTTCCACCAGCTCTCTTGGGAAGCTGAAATAAAATAAGCGATTATTTCTTAAATACAAGTTAAACCAAACATTACCTTAGTTTTTTATAAATTTTGAAAAAGGATAGTTTCAAGAACCTAGAAAGGGAAATTGTTGCCATTGTTACATTTAAACATGATTGCATCATATGCATGCAAGAATAAGAGTATTTTCTTGGCCATTATAAAGAAGATTAGGATATTTTCACTTTATAAATTTTATCAAGTTAGAAGATGATCATCATCTCTAAAATTTAGGAAAAAATACATTGTGCCAGATGAGATTTCATATGTCCTTGTTTGCATTGACCTTGAGTTTATTCAGCCAATCATGATTTAAAGAACTCAGCACCTAGAATCCAGTCTAAGATCTTATAAAATTCCTATTACGGAATCCTTACCGATCTTAATGCTATTTTCAATGCAGTTGGTGATGCTCTTTTCATTCCTTTTAAAGCTGCACCTATCCATCCATTTCCCTCCTTGTTTGCTTCAGCTTCCTTCATATCAGAGCACAGTCATATATCCTCAGAAAGGACTTGAGCATGCAATAAGATAATAATATTCCAATGGAAATGGTAAGAAACTTACAAATGATTTTATAATTTCTTCTACAGAATCCTTTGAGAAGCACTCGTCAATTATTGACCGCCTAAAAATTCCAAAGGTTAATGTCTTCAGCATAGTGCAATTTGCTAGTAACAGCGACTCAGTGAGACTACATAGATCATTGATGAAAAAGTGGTTACTTGTTTAAGATGCTCTCTTCATCAAGTTTAACTTCTGAGGAAAATTCTTCTATTACTGATCTTACAGCACTCTCGTCACCAGAATTTAAGCTAATCAAGCGCTTCTCAAGCTCGATGATTTTCTGGTACACAGAAAATGTAAGCATCGTTGATCAAACTAAAACTTTAAATCCAAATTATATCTAACAAACACCCAGTACTTAATGCATATAACAATGCTCATCTTTGCACAAATAACTGGGCCTTGTTCTGCTGAAAGAAAGGGAGTCCCTGAAAAGAACTTTTGAAAAACATCCTGGGGCATTTTGTTACCCATTTTTTCTTAAAATTTCAGAAAAAATTAATAATCTGAGATATATTATTTCAGTGGACCAATGTCCTCTTATCAGAAAACAGAAGAGGTCAATTACATGGATCATATGATACTATTGAGCTTAGTCAAAAACCAAATTCTCACTTATCCCTTTTAAAGTTATGGGCTTAGAGCTCTTATCTCATCAAATCCAATGCTATGAAAGATAGATTTTGTAATAAAAAAATAATACATGAAAGAAACCTCCCATGGTAATCCTAGATCTTTTATTCAGATTATAACTTCCAAGAGCCCTTATCTTCTATCCACTTATTTTGAAATGCAACTATCCTTGTGTGCTTCTTTTATTTCTCTTTAACTTCAGCCCCTTCATATATACTATATTGTATAGGTTACTAAGCAGCATTTGGCTCACACCACCACCATGATATAGATGGAATTGAACTAGCCAAGAAGAAAAAAATAATTCTTAAGGCAGCTAGGATGTAATGCATGTGGTATAAGTGGAGGACAGCATGAAACATTTTCTGCATCCTAATGTTACCTGCTGCTATATGGCTTATGTATCCAGTTTCAATACTAGATTTATTGGTTAATAAGACTTTCAAGGCAGAAAAACTAACCTATATTCTTGTGAGGCAAGCCAGAATTACCAAGACTTTCAGACATAAAAAATAATGGAGTAGCTACTAGCTTCACTGATGCAATCAAAATTATGTTTTCTGTGGAGCTGTCCACAGATTATACTTATGAACTTAGATTTATACATCATATTGCCATTGATATTGTTTATTTCAACCATGTTTTGATACCTTATGAAGAAAAAAGAAATTGATGTCTCCTAGGTTTATTGAACACCAAACCTGTGTGGCTCTATCATTAAGATTACAAAGTAATTTGAAACAGCATTTGACACAATTTATGATTTTATTTTATTTTATTTTTGTTATTTAACTGGCAGGATCCTCTCGCTCAGCCAACAACCAATTTTGATAGAATGTTTTTTCAGCTTAAACTTAGAGAACTAATCGCTTATTTTTCAGAAGCCTTCTTAGGAAGCTGAAAGAAATAAGCGATTATTTCTTCAAAATAAGGTAAACCAAACACGCACCGAATCTATAATTACACTAAATATGTGAGCAGTAATATTGTAAGCAATTTCCTTCTAGAGGGAGAACATATACTGAACATAATTAAACCTCAGAAGAGACAAAATGAGTTGCAAGTCCAGCTGCAACTAATTCCTTCCCATTCAACCTTCCTCCAGTAAGTGCCAAGTATTCACCTGTATATTACATGCATGAATTCAGCTTTAAAGTTTTTCTATGTAATCTGATAAAATTATTTTCTTCATTTTAAATCAATTTTATGCTAATTCAGTACAATTTTATAAAGTAATTTATACTGTCACGGAAGAAGAAACGGCCAGGGAGATAAGAGGTGTATAGGGTGAAAGTTTAAAAACAGTAAAAGAAAACAAGATAAAAGGAATCATTCTTTGCAATTACCCAAATGCCCTGGTAACCGAGAATGGTAGTATGAGAAGCCACAATCAGTATGAAATCCAAAACTTGCTTCAGGAGTGGCAAAAACCTGTCAAAGCATTTGTTTGAAGACACCACAAAAAATTAAGGATTAAACTACATTGATAATTTTACCACAAAACTAACTAAAAACAAACATGCACTAAATAATCTCTAACAAGATAAATACTTACAGTTTTATCTGTTACAACTGAGAATTTCAATGGAACCATCAAAGCTGCACCTCCACCCATTGAAATTCCATGAACAAGAGCAACCTGTTACAATATTATAGCATCATTCTGGAAAACATGAGACTTCATAAACTTTCACAAGAACACATTTGCCTTTAATGTTTATAGAAAAAGTGGAAATAAGTTCCTAAACCAAACCTGGGTTTTCTTATATGTGCTAATGTGATAGCAAAGCCAGTAAAATCTGTAGACCACTTCAAGGCAAGAATCCTCTGTCAAGAAGAAATGTATTGTTCTTTAATAAACAGTAGATAATATAAAGATATCATCTTACTTATTTCTCTCTTATTATCATTTACTAGAGCTTATTCCAAAAAAAAAAAGAAAAAAGACAAAGAAGGGGATGCATAAACACATTATCTATCTATCTCTACATGTTAAATCTGAGTCCTTATTCTTAAAGAAGAATATTTTTAGGAGCTATCTTAAACTAGTGCATGAAAAACTCACTAGTTATTGGTAAAATTAGACTCATATAAATTATGTGGGTCTCACACGAATTTCATCTAATAATAGAGTAAATTGCTAACATTTTCTAAGAAAAAATGAATGAAATCTCTATGTGAACTTGCTTGCACATATTCCTCCATATCCTATAGAGAAAATAATGTATTTACTTATTTTCCTGCCATCGTAGAAGACTCTCAAATCCCCTCCAGCACAGAATGCGCGACCAGCTCCCTGCGAAATCGAAAGCACAGCAATTGAGTGAAGTGTACACAAGTAAAAAATAAAAAAGGGAAATGCAAAAACAAGGTAGATTGTATCAAATTGGTAGTTTATATATAATAATACAATCTATCAGTAAAAAAAATTAACCATTAATAAGAAGGTTATTTAAACAATTTCAGTGGGTGGCACCGTACTAAGAGTGTGCAGGTTCAGTTTCTGTGGCAAGTTTTCTTATGGAACCCCCAAAAATTACGCATAAAAAATTAAAAATTGAGAGAATAAATAAGTAAACAACAAACAACCTTTATGATAATTAGCTCTGCTTTCTCATCTTTCTCCCACTTTTCCAAATATGCTGCTAGCAGAGAAACCTGAAACAATTTAAACAATTATAAACCAAAAACAAAAAAGTAGTAGCAATAGACGAACCCAGAAGAGGGAAAATTTTCAGACTTGATCTGATTTACCAGTTCTGGTGAGATGGCATTCAATTGCCTTGGCCTGTTCAAAGTTACCACTCTCACATTCTCTATCTCTTCTCCAACAACAACCTTAACATCAAAATCAACAACATCCTCTCATTATGTTCTGCATTATCTTGTTTGAATAATAAATGGAAAAACCCATTATGGGGGTAGGTAGCATTTTCAATTTACAAATACAATTTATTTTCCTTGAAAAAGGATCAGTATATCTAAAGAGAGATGAGAAATTGCTCTATCAAAAAAATAAAATAAAAATCATTAGAAGCATGATTCAGGACTTGCCTGTTCATCTAGAACTGCAGAACTTGGTGCCATTGATGTAAATGCTGCACAATCTAACAATAAATAACATATAATATGATCAAGTTAATCAGATTAAAGCCTAAAGATATTAAATTATTAATAAAATAAAATAAAGAACAAACGAGTGTGAAACTAAAATTAATATGTTGAAATTAACCTGTATGAGTATGAAGGAAGTGAGATGGATCAAATGTCGATGGAGGATGAACTACTTATAGCTTTTCTTAGGTCTATAGAAAATGTTAAAGGAAGTGAACTCAACACATAGTCAACAGATACCAACAGATACCAACCACCAAAGGTCATTAGTAATATAATTTTGGTGACAAGTGGGCATTAAGAAAATTAAATTAAATTTATTCTACATTTAAACAAAAAAATTATATAAGTACCTTACGTTTATATTTCCTATGATTTAAGACAATATATACAGTATGAAAATTATTAAATACAGTAGAAACTCTTTAAATTAATACTCGATAAATTAATAAACTCTCTAAAATAATAAATTTATTCGGTCCCGACTTGGGCCAATATAAAAAATTGAAAAATTTGATAAAATAATAAGATAATAATTTTTCGGGAGATCCCTTTATAATTTTCGGTCTCAAGAAAATCATAAATTAATAATTCATAAAAATTGAAAAAAATATATTACACTATTAAAATATGATTCAATAGTTGTCTGTTTTCCTTTAAAGTTCAAGTCTATTTGGAGCTCATCTCTAACTTTTCTTATTGCATCCAATAGCTCAGGCGTTGTATTTTTGTATTGTATCATAAAGTTGTGAAGAGTGTTCGACGCCATAAGTGCTTCCTTTCGCGTAACAGGCTCCAAAGACACTGTATCATCTTCGTCGTCATCCTCTGCATTGTTCTCAATGATAGTACCCACAATATCTTCTAAACTTTGAACCTCCCAACATGTTTCATTTTCACCTGGGTAGTTCATTAGATTGTCGATATCCATCTTATTACGATAGCCACATTGATTGATCATAGTCTCGAGGTCTTGAGTTTCTTCATCAAAAGTGGATTCATCCAAATTTCTTGCAACGTCACTATCTGAACGAATTTTACAGTGTTAGAAGCAATTCACTATTGTTTCTTTTCGAACATCTATCGTCCAAGCTGGGATTGCCAAATTGATAGCATCAAGGACATTTATCTTCCCTGGATCATATTGTCCCACCTTATAACCTTCCAATATTTTGCGGTAAAACCTTCTACGGTAATGCATCTTGAAAGCTCTTATTATCCCAGCATCACAAGGTTGAATCTTTGATGTCATGTTGGGTGGCAAGAAGAACAACTCAACGTTTCTTAGCCCTTCAATATTTCTTGGATGTGCTGGACAATTATCCACCACAAGTAGAACTCTTCTACCATGTATCATTTGGTCAAATGAACAAACATATTCATCAAAAAGCACACTGGTCATCCATGCTTTTTTGTTAGCTCGATACTGACAATTCAAGCTATTCATGTTAACATTCTTGAAGCAACTAGGCTTTGCATATTTCCCAATAATCCATAGAGGGATTTTTTCAGAGCCATCTTCATTGCAACAAATAACTACTGTCAGCCTTTCTTTATCTTGTTTTCTTCCTTCAAGTTGTTTTGTTGCCAGTGAATGATCAGCTTGTAGCCTATAAAACAACCCAGTTTCATCCATATTGAAAACATCTTTCATAGGGAACTAATCAATTTTCTCTCGAATCGATATCAATTTTTGCTCCATGTCTTGTATATCAACAGACCCACTCTCGCTAAAACGACGAAATGACTTTATGCCATGTCGGTGCTTGAATTTCCCAAGCCATCCTATAGAGAAGTTAAAATCTGAATCATCATGAGGGTACACGAGTTTCATTGTATCTCTTGCCTTCTCCAAAATTAATTCTCCTGTGATATTCACACGTTCTTGATGCTGGAGAAACCACTCATAAACAACCTTCTCCATGTCAGGATATTTTGCTGGTTTGTGTCTTTTGATCTCTGCTCTTCCCTTTTCTATTTTAGCAGAGAGATAGTTATCTGACCGCTTAAGTGTGTTTGATATTGTTCATTGACTAACTTTCAACTGAAATTTTCCCTCAAGCCATCTCTGCAAGTCTTTTTGTGTGCTTGCAGGATTATCTCTCTTATACTCACACAACTCCTTACGTATTTGATCTGACATAGTTGATTTTGCAACACCTTTTAGATGAGAAGTCATCTTGTGAGATATGGTTTGAATACTCTAACACATTCATGTAATTTATATATGCTAAACTTTCTTAAGAATACATTGAACACATTTGTTCCTCTTGTTTACATTTACTGTACTTCAAAAGTCATTATTGATTTCCAATGCATATGTAGTGTAGTTACTAATTTACTGTACGTTAAGTCCCAAGGTTCGCTGCAACGTAATTCTAAGAGGCATAGATTAATTTACCTTTTTGTTTGGTATGTACAGTATAATTACTTAAAAACTCTTTAAATTAATAATTATTAATTTATCGATAAATTAATAATTTTATAAATTAATAAATTTCTCCGGTCCTGACATTATTAATTTAAAGAGTTTCTACTGTATTATGATAAAATATGTTGTTATTACAAGGTTAAAATATAATTATGAATTAATTACATATTTAAGTAAGATATTAATAACTAGAAGTGTTTTAGAAAATAATAGTGTTATTTTATTTTTTAAATAAGAAATATTTGAAGACAATATTAAAATTGTAAGTAGACTATCTGAAATAGAGAGAGTGTTAAACGAAGAATAAAAAATATTCAATATTTTTACAAAGCTCGTGTATATACTATTCCTTGAGTAGATCAATGATTTACGATGTGACAAATTTATTATTCAGTGTTGGAAAATGCGACACCACCAGTGACATTTATTATATTCTTAAACACACATTTTTATATATTTTTTTAAAAAAATTATAATTATCTCATAATATGATATGATCATGCTAATGAAAGAAAGATATAATTTTTTTATTAAATAAAAAATATCTCAATTAATTTATAAATCACCACTCCAGCGACTACCATTGCCACCTTAACAAAAGCTTCCTCGTGGCTTATACCGACCATCTACCCACAAACTGTAAATTTGACTCTTTTAATGAAGAGAAAGGTACGAAATGCGGGTGCTTAACGCTGGTTAGTCAAAACTAACACGTGGTTAGTTAATCTATTTTTAAAAAGAAAAAATAATGTAAATATATTCTATTACTAAATGTGAATTTCGCAAAAAAAATATGTCTGGGCCTTATTTTTTTTACTTTGTGGGCCAACTCAAAATAATAAAGTTGTGGTTCTTGTCTACTCAATCCAAACTAAGAAAAAAAAATATTAATTCAACCCCAATTTTATGCAGTGAGTTAGGTTGGACAAGTTCATTAATCTACCTAAAGTTGTGTTCAAAAGAGGATGCAAGATTTAGATAAGCCCACCAATCTGTATAACTTGATTTGTTCAGCAAGGGTTTTTCTTTTTGAAAAGGTGGGGGAAAATTTTGATTTTAAATAAATATATTTTTATTTTTAAAGAAATAAAAAATATAAATTAATATATTAACAGAAATTTAATATATTAATCATGTATTTATTATTATAAATTATATATAATTTTCTTAATTTAAAATTTATAAATATATCTTACTTTTTTTTCCTTCTAAAATATCTCTCCAAAACTCAAGTTTTGTTTATATATTAGTTTAAGTTATTTGGTTTGGTATGTTTTAGGATTAGGACTAGGATTAGACCAACCTTTAAATACCTATGTAGCCTAATAAAATATGAATGCTTATTTTGCTTATCTTCTTAACTAGGGTTTTGGGATGAGGGGTTATTTCAATTTTGTTTTTTGTTCATTTCTTTTTATTATTAATTTTCTTGATTTTTTTATTCAATATTTATTTGTGCTAGTTTCTCATTTGAACTTGTCTATGAACCTAAATCTATATATTCAAAAAAATTAATTACAAAAATTCCATTTTATTTTATTTCTTGTTTTAAAAATTTTGTATAAGAAATAGTGAAAACATTATTATTTTCATTATTTAATATAAAAATATTTAAAAATTATAAAAAATAAAATAAAAACAATATAATAATGTATAGTTAAAAAAAAATTGCTCAAATTAAACGACCCCTTGAATTTTCCTTTTCACAAAATTGAGTTAGACAGATAAACTACTTTGAAACTTAACTTTAAGATTGTGTTTGAATTAAATTAAAGTCTTCACACCATTGTCCAATCTATTGAATGAAGGTTTTGCAGTGACATCATCTCCTAAATTAGACACACTTAAAAAACTCGTGCTGCAGAAAACGTTGAAAACATAGAGACATTTACCAACATTGAAAAAAATTAAATATTTAAATAATTAAATTAGTATTTTAGTTTAAAAAAATTAAAGGCTAAGTTATATAATATATATATATATATATATATAATTCTTTTTTACGTATGACAGCCACAGGATAAGAAATGAAATTTATTAAATTGACATATTTATCTTTATTATATATTACTTTTAGGTCTATTTATACCTATAATTATCAATATTTTTCTTCTTAATTATAAGAAATATTATTTTTAAATGTTTAAATTCTTTTAAAATATTAAAATAAAAAAATTAGAATGGATCCATTATAAAAGATAATTAATTATTAATCAGTACATATTAAACAAGCGTCCATCTATGCATTAATGGGATGATTTTTCCTTATAAGCCAATTTGTAATATAATAGTGAAAATGCTGAACAGCTGTGTAACCTCGAAAGATGAAAACCACCTTTTAACAATAGGAACTAAATACTATATTTGAAAAAAAAAATTAAATTCAACTTTATATGTATGTAATTTTTAAAATTATTAAAAGAAAAAATTATCAATTACTTTGTATACTTTTAAGATAATAAATATATAAATTTTTATCTAATATTTACTTTGTAAAATAATAAAAATTATCAAAACATATAACAAAGCTCTATTTCAAAAGTATAGTCCATTCAGGAAACTGCAATCCAACCTAGGGCAACACTTTTTACAATCTTTTTACCTCAATATTGAACCCTACCAATATTTCTTTTATAAATATTTTTTTATAAAATCTACGTACCTTTAGTTGAGAGAGTTTATAACACATGAAATAATATTTAGAAATTTTATATTAATAAATAATAATGTTAGTAGTTTAATTAAAGTATATATAATAAGTGATATAATGTGATTCAATAAAAAGAGTTAATTGGCATTGACATTGTTGAAGTATCTATAATTTAAGTTTAAGTTGATATATAAACTATTAGTTTTCTTAACCTTTGTCTTAATGTGTATGGAAATCTAAAATAATATAAAATAACATTTGAACTCTTCACTTAACTAAAGTTTTCATAATTTATTACCATGATACAATCACAATAATATATGATTAGCTTTACTTTGAATAATAAACACTTGATACCATAATAAAAGGTTTTCTAATAAAGACAGACACTCACAAGACTTGTCTTGTAAATTAAAACATAACTTGTATACCTAAACTCCCAACAAGTAAAAGTATAGTCATAAATTAGAAAAACATTAAATCACACCTAACTTAACAAACTTATTGCTACACAACTTTCATCTAGCAATTCACTTAATGTAAATTATGTAATAATGAAAACATAAACTAAAAGGTAAACTAATACACATATAAAAGAATGAAGTCTTAAGTCTCTACTATATCTATATGCCTTACCTATATTTTACAAGAGGAGAATTTTAATAGAAAAGGAAAATAATGACATATTTAATATATTAAATTTATGTTAATATATTAATTTATATTTTTTATTTTAAATAAATATTAATTTAAAATATATAATAATGAGTTCCTTATTTTATATTAGGATTTTTGTATAAAATTTATAAATTATAATTTGGTAAAAACTTATATTTCTAAGTTTTGTTGAGACCATGATTTAGTGCTTAAACAGTATAAGGTTAAAAAATATTTTTTGTATTTAGTATAAAAATATAATTTAATAAACATTTATTATTAAAATTAATTCAATAGAAACATTTCATTTAATTTTAAAACAAATGAATTTATAAAATATTTTATTTAAAAAGTCGAAACATAGTGTGAATATTAATTTGATGCATTGGCGTGCACTTGGTGGAACTTCCCAATTCACGTGTCTCTCACGATAAATACATATCTTACATTAAATTTATTTCACCTAACTCATATAATTGATGTAACCCAAAATGAAAAAATGGATATGATTGATGACTCACTCAACTCCTTGTTAAACGTGTCTCAAGACTTGAAAAAGATAATTTTAAGTTTGTTTATTATAATTTTTAATTATTAAACAAAAATTTAATTTATTGACAATTTTTGAAACTTAATCACTATTTTTATTTTAAAATTTTAAGTCCTTTAATGATGAGTTTTAAAATTTATATTGCTGTAATTTTTAAAAAATATCATATTTCAGTGTATATAATTTTTAAATACTATATATAAAAAAATAATTAAAATATACGAGGTAGCTATTAAAAAATTAATTCAAATTATATAATCTTTAAGAAAATTCAATTTGCTTACATAGGGCTTTGTGACCAAACAACGCATATTTGTGCATAGTCAAAGAAGATTGTTCTCCTTATAAAATACGACCAATCGAATATACAACAAATCTGTATGTGACAAGTAAAAGAATCACATTTCCCAGTTCCCACGTCATTATCCCATCTCAGTTTTCAAATAGAAATTACTATTGTATAAGTAATTGCAATATCTAAACGATGAAAATAATATGATATTTTTTTTATTAAAAAATACACAAAGAATATATTAGAATTAATAATAAAAATATATTAATAACACTTTTTATAAATATTTTTTAATTTCTTAAATAATTAAGAAAATGTTGGGTAGTGTTTATCTAAATAATTTTATACACAATATAGAAGAAAGAATGTCAGTCTTTACCGTGAGGGAAAAGAATTGATAGAAATGAGAAAATTAAAAGAGGAAAAAGTTAGATGTAGTCTGTCTAAGAAGAACATTCATACAGTTGTTATTAGTCATATAAAGGATGTCTTTTATATTTAAATGAGATATTTTAAAAAAATGAGCAAAGTTAAAGATTTTGGAACAAAAAAGTGACTGAATAAAAGACTAGATTGAACAAAAAAAAAACCAAAAAGCATAAATTAGAATTAAAGAAGACAACTTATAATTTAACCTTTAATTTTTTTAGAAGTTATACTAAAAAACATAAATTAGAATTAAAAAAACTATTTTTATTTGATTTTTTAATTAGTGCCTTTAAAATACTCGTTAGTATTTTTCTTTAGTAAATTTTAAAGGGGATTACCCAATTAAATGAAAGAGTCCCATACAAACTGTTTCCAATTCAAACTTAATACATATAGAGCAAATTTCTATGTAGTACAAGTATCAAGAGGGGAAGAAAAGGGCAAGAGAAAAATTATATTCGTAAAGTGTTAAAAAGGGATGAATTATTTTTTAGATTGCTGTGAAATTACCAAATAAAATAAATAAAGGAAGATGGCAAAATGTATGATATAGAGACACCTAACAAGTAACGATAAAGCTGACCTAGTCTTGGTTTGCATGCTTATGTTCTTTGATTTTCTTATAAAATTGTGCTGCCTACCTAACAGATGAGTCATTGAATAATATATTGGTGTCTGATATGGTAAACAACCATATTCCATTTGACCAGTTATTAAGGAAAAAGGAGGAATTAAAAAATGAAATATATAAATTAAAGAGAATGGTCCACAAGAAATTAAAATAATAGCAGATGTAGCAACAATCACAACCTGTCAGTTACTACTTGATTTAGAGAATACAGACACAATATAGAAATCGTTGTCAATGCCATGAGGCTAAGTTTATTGTATATATGAAGGAATAACTTTTCCTTTTGAAAATGTATAAACAAAGAGAAGACCGAACATGATTGTCAGAGACAATATCATATAAAATTGAAAGCCAAATTAACTCAAAATTAAAGAGTTAAATGTGTACAAAACAGTGAAAAGGTTGTAGTTGTAATGACCCTATTGCTGTAATTACCTAAAGCCTAATTCTATATCACCTTAAGAATAAACCTTGATTTTTCTTTTCTTTCTTCTGTATATATATCACTTTCTAATTCTATCAATGGGAAAAACCAGAAAAAAATAAAAGAAAAAAATAAATTCAACCCAAGAATTGCCATGTTCATGGCTATGCCCCTATACACCTTTCTACTCTAACGAGATGTTAAATATCATCACATTTCATTGGTGCATACCCAAGTCTAGATTTCTTCATATCATACAAGATGTGAAAATTTTGCTGCTGGTAGTTTCCAATTATTGAAAGTGCAGACCTAGGAGTCCCCAAAATAGCCAAACATACAATATCTTCCGGTTCTATTTGAATAAAGTAATTTTCCACAGGGAAATCCCACACTGCTCCGTCTTCAAACAAGATCCCAAATTCAGGTAGCTCCATTTTTTCAACTCCTGACACATTATAGCATGGCTTTAGAGGAGGAAAGGTTTCAACAAGTGGATACCCTTTGATTTTCTTCATGAATGCTTCCTTGATAATATCATAAGCAGGTTCAGCAAAATAAGTTAGAGTGGTGCCAGAATCAATGATTGTGCCCCCAGCACCTTCTGATGACAAATGCCAAGTTTCCTTTGGTATCTTTAGTACCTCACCACCAACCATTATAGATTTGATTTGGACATAGTAAAATGTGTCAACGGGGTTCTCTCTTCCACCAACAAAAGAAGTGAAGTTCAAATTGGGGTGGCTCAGCAGCTCCTTGTCCTCACCGAATATCAACTTGCTACTAACACTTGAATTGCTATTTCTATCCACAAGACAATAGGAAAATGAATGACCATAAAGAGATTGAAGTTGAGAAGCAAATGACAATGGCCCTCTCCCTAAGCCTAACAATCCAGCAGCCCCATGAAAAAGGCCTCTATTCCAATGACCACAACCAAACATAACATTCTCAACAAGCTTGAGCTCAGGCTTCCCTTTAGGTGTGGTGAGATTCACAGTGAAAGTTTCAAGTGCAAAATCACCAGTTGTGTTGGAACTATCACCATACCAATAGAAATATGGACAACTCTGATTCTCAAGCTTGCAAGGATGAGGAGGGTCAGGGGATGACACCAATTTACACCTTGGATCATGACAGGTTATATTCTTAAAAGAACTAGAATCTGTAGGATCATAGTATGGTCCATTTTGCTCAAAACAAGCATAGCAAGGAACGCATTGAATCCAGTTAAGGTCACTACCTGTGTCAAGTATTAGAGAAAAATGTTTAGGAGGTGTTCCAACAAACACATCCATGAAGTACTCACCAGAGCCAAGACTCACCCCTGACTCCAAGGTTGCCACAAGTTGACCAGAATAGTCACCTGAGAAATATTCTGGTGGAGCTGCAGGAACAGCCACTGGCTCATAGGACTTCTTTGATTGCTCTTGTGCTTTCTGAAGCCTTGAAATTGTGTTTTGGTTCTTCTTTTCTATGACCCTTCTGTGAAGGGTCTGAATTCTTGTCAAGTCTCTAACTGTAGAATCAGCCACAGATTTCTTGGGCTCAGCATCATTGCTCACTGAGTGGTGCTTCAAATGGAGTTTCACATATTGGTTTGGATGTTTTGCTGCTAGAAAAGCTTCCCTCTCTTCACCATCATCATCATCATCCTCAGTATCTTCACCTGATGCTATGGTTCCTGAATGCTCAAATTCCTCAGACTTCGAGAAGCTACACCCAGTTGAAGAAGAAACAGCATTGAAGCTTGCATGATCATGTATCTTGATTGCAGCAAGAGAAGATCCACTTTCATTTAGACCATTGTGATTGTGAAGCCTAAAAATGGCTTCAACTGTGCAAGAATAGAAGTGTAACACCAGGAGAACCCAAATGAGAGAAACCTTCATAACCATAGTTATGATTTTACCAACATCAAGTAGCAACTTGCAGAATTTCAAGGTGGTGACAAATCCCAGAAAGAACAAAACTTCACAACAATCTGTGAGCTTACAAAAGAGAAAAATATAAAGGCCAACTAGAAATAGCCAGAAAACAAAGATTCAGAAGCAGAATCTCCACAAAGAATCAAAACTTTAAGGAAAATGAAATGAAGATAGATAGAAGGTTATAACTTTCAAGGCCAAAAAATGAGAGGGAGAAGAGAATTATAAAAGAAGAAGAAATGGGCAACTCTAAATTCTAAGCTTCTTCTGGTGTGACTCTAGCAAGAACAAATTAGAAAAACCCCAAAACGCGGTTTCATTGCCATAGTTATTAAACTCATCAATTTCAAGGCTCACACAATGAAAATCAATCAATTTTTAATTGGAATATATAATAAATGCTGTTTCTCTTGCAGGGTATTTTCGTGTCACTTTCCTGGTTCAGTGGCATTTGTATTGTATTGCTTGTATGGTAAGTATGGATGAGATGAGACCCATGTTACATATTCAAGACTTCATATGAAAAATGTTACATTTGACGACAAATTTTCACAAATGCTAGTAATTTTTTTTATTCGTAAAATTTATTTAATACTAAATTAAACTCAGTATATTAAGATTGTATTGAAAAGTTTATATGAAAAGTATTAGATAACATTTTAATATTTATGTTTTTTAAAATTATTAGTTTTATTTTCTCTTACTAACATAACCCTGAAATAAATAATATATATATAGTATGACAATATTTGAATTATTTACATCATCATTTAACAGAAATTAAAAAAAAAAATAGATGGTATAAGAAAATGAAATTGATGACAAGTATTATGGAACTCTTGGTCATTAACCTAAATGTTAGCAATGTGGTCTACAAGTACAAAAGTCAAAATGAAAAATGGATTTTTCTAAGGCATTTCTTTACCACTAGTGAAAGTTTGGAACTCTGTGGTCGTTGGTCAGAGTTTGTGAACCTGTCTCTGTCACACTGCTGAATGGAAAACACAGAGAAAATCAAATCCTTCTGAGAATAGCCCACGTTTACACGCTCAAGAGGGTACAATATTTTCTCTTTACACACCAAGCAAATAAAAAATTCATGTTGTTTAAATCTCTTATCTCGTTTAATACGAACATGGTTCTAAAATATATTTTTTATTTTTAATACTTATTAGTTTTATCGTTGATAAATTTTAAAATTTTTTAAAATAATTTTGTCACATTTGTTGATTATTGATAGAGTAACATGTATTTTAATGTGTCACTCTATAAAAACTAACAAAAATAATTAAGTTTTTATTGCTTTTGAAATGAAATTGATTTCAAAAGAATTGAGTTGAATAACTAATTTCAAAATAAATAGAGTTTCCAACTTAATTTACATTAAATAATTTTAAAAGTAAATTTAGAATTTTTTTTCATTTGAATAGTAAAGTAAGATTAATTTTAAAATATAATAAATACTTTTTACATTTTCTTACGTTGAAATTCGAAATCAAATATTGTTCATTTGCAAATGTTAACAATTTTTCATTCTTTTAAATTATCATATTTATCACAGCACGAAACTTTTCAGTTTAGTTATTTTTTTAATGTGTCGATATGATCTATTTGGTTAATATTATAAAATTTATGTTACCGCATATTCAATTTGTTGAAACTATAGGAATTTTTATAGTGAAATTAAACTCTTATAAATATATGTAAAAGAAAAAAAATATTTTTTAAAAATATTTAAATGAAAATTAAATTATTGAGACTAAATAATATATATATATATATATATATATTATAATTATAAATGTTTAAATACTAATGTATTAAAAATTAATTCTATAAAAAATAATTTGTAAATTTCAATATATTTAATATTGATAAAAGATATTTAAGTATTAATTAAAATATTTAATAAATTGAATTTTTATTAGATTATATAATAAATTAGACTATTGCAATATAAAATTATTTAAAATATTAATTTGAATCAGTATAAAAATTTATAAAGTAATTCACACGATTTAAAAAATAATAATCTTGGTTGCGTAAATTTTTAAAATAAAGACATAAGTTTATAACAAAGACAGATCCACGTTATGAGTGAGTGTAATTGCGTTCACTGATATTTTGATTTTCCTTTATAGTATATATATATAAATATTAATATTCAAGAGTCTTATTATGTATTATAGCTATTGAAATTCCTACATTTTAATATATATTTTATTAATTTATCATTAAATATAAAAAATTAAATAAAAAGAAATATCTTGATAAATTGCTACACTTTCTCTAAATCAAAAAGAGTTATATTTTATGTATTGTATAATTTCAACTCAACCGTGTTTCAGAAAGTTTGAATATTCTAATTATAGATTTCTCACTTATTCTTTGATTATGTATGAACACCTTTTCTCCATGTTTTTTTTAAAAACATATTTAAGGTATTGATTGTAGTTTATCATTAGAGTTGACAATTAGACTTATCCTACCCAACCTTCATTAAATAATATGTTAATTTGAATTAAGATTAATAAAATTTATAACAATTCAAACTTTTAAAATAATAGTCTAAATCTATTCATCAAATTTCAAACAAAAATTATTATTTAATAATAAGCTGTGGTAATAATAATAATAATAAAATAAAATAAAATTTATGTGGGATTGGCTATTATCAAGTTACGTACGCAGCCGGGTGATGGACCACGCGACGAAAGCGTTTATAATTAAATTTCTTTGCAATATATTATATAGTATAGAGCACGTAACTATATTTTTGTTTAAATTTTAAATATTAATTTATATCCCCTGTTAGTATCTATGTATAACTCAACCATCAATTAATATTTATTTGTCTTTTTGTTTGATTTCTCCTCTCATCCTCTAATAAAACATACATTACGTAGTTACCACACCAAACATTTGATTAACCTGAATTAAACTCAATATACAACAATTTTCTTTTATGAAATTTTAAATCTAATTGTGTTCTCATGACACGAAGAATTTGTTGCTTGAGTGAACCGTGAATCACTTCACCAAGATACAAATATCTTAAGTAAAAAGTAAGCAAAAAATATTATTTATTAAATATATCAACTCATTTAAATAAAGAATTTTTTTTGGTTAAGTGAATTATGAATCGCTTAAACAAAAATTAGATATAGTATATCATTTTTTAAAGGTATTTTTTTTACTTAAGCAAGTCTTAAATAATTTAAGAAAAAAAAGTTTAAAAAATATGTACGCTTAAGCAAATTTTGATTTGCTTTTTAATGCAAAATTTTGAATACAAACACAGAAAAATTATATCATCTAACATAAGTAAAATTTTAAAAGCAAATACATTACTACAATTAATAGATAACATAAGTAAATACAACAAATTTTAAAAGAGAATAAGATATTATGTTATATATTATATAAAAAATTGATAATAATGTTGTTTACATAAGATATTCTTGAAACAAAATGAATTGTGAGACTAAATTAAATATAAATTAAAATTAGAAAAAAAATAAAAAAAATAAAAAAAATAATTTTTGTCTAACAACATCATGTAGAGAATGATTCTCCTTCATGTGATCTCTTCTTTTCACCCACACCATGGTCCTTTTTATTACCTAATCCTCTTTAACCTATTCTCTGACCTTTGGATCAGTATGACCACCATCATCATCAACCTGTTGTTGTCCATGCCCTTCTTCGTGTTCAACCTCCTCTTGATATTGGTTGGGGTCATTTGGGATTGGAGAGGCGTCTTTAGGCCATGAGACATGTGCTACAAATTGTTCAAGTGTGGGTCAGGAGAATGTTGAAGTGTCTCCTTAGTGTTGGTGTATGGTAAAGCAATAAAATGAATCATTGAGCTACGTGTATACTCAATGGTTCATCATCAGTAGGTAGTAAATGTGTATAAGTGTGATTATTAATTTCCATCTGTTGCTATATTTTAGTAGGATGTTGCGTGAGGTGACACTCCATTAGTGTCATGCTAGGGTTAAATGGTAGTGTTGTTGGTTATGTTGTAGGTGGTGCTGATGAAGAAGATTGAAAAACTTCATGTCCCTACTCCAATTGGTTGATGTAATAATTATTGATGAAATGAGCATTGACGGACCTTTTCAACTTGAAATTATAGACAAATTTTACAAATGAAAAAAATCTATTTGTACTATAGATGACTTTACTGATGAAAAATAAAAAAAAATTATATTTTTTTAAATTTTTAGAAATATCTATATGTAATACAAATGATTTTTTTTTTCATTTGTAAAATTCATCTGTAAATGGCTAGCCATTTGGCGCGTAACATTAGAGATAGAAATTACAAACATAAATTTTTGTCTGTAATTTAAAAATGAAGCGGAAAATTTTTAGCAAAATTTATAGACAAAAAAAATTTGTCTATAATTTGAAAAACTATTACAACTTTTCATATAGCTTGTTATAGATGAATTTTTTTGTATGTAACTGCATTTAATGGATTTATCCATCTATAACTGAACGTACGAAATGTTTATTTCATTAAACCAATTACAAACAAAAATATTTATCTATAATGTGCAAAACAAATCAAAATCGCACCTCCTCCTCCTTCTTCCTCACTTTCCATATTTTCTTGTCTCTCTCTCATCTTCCTCTCTCTCTAGCATCTTCAATTCTTTGGCCATTATAAATGATTAAAGCATCCATTTGAAAAATAATTTATATCATTGTGTACTTGGTACAATACTGTATTAATGTTTATCATGTACGATACTGTAATTTAATATAGTATTATGTACTTGTATTAGGTTTAATGAATTCTTGATTGAGATTTTCCTTGGAGTATTTATCATTATTGATCATTTTTTTTAACAATGATATTTTTTTAATGTTTCCTTTAGATATAATAAGTAAAAGTAAGCAAGGTGTTGCTCAATGTCTTGATTATGGCAACACTCTTTCACCCACCGCTTTCACTTCCACCTCTATAACAATTACAGTACAAACCTCCCAGGCTATGGGGTAAAAGCAGTTTATCATGGTGCTCAATTTTGGGTATGCGCTTCTTTGCACATATTGGCATTAGAAAACAATATTTTAATAAGAAAAAAGAAGATGGTGCTATCATTTTATGTCAATATGTTTGTTGCAAAGAGAGGTTTTAAAAAGGAGATAAAATAACTTATTGTTATACAAGAATTAAAAGTGTCTTCAAGAAAGAACAAAAAATTTATTCATGAGTTTGTAGAAGAGTATAATCACCTGTTACAAGTTGAGGAGACAATGTGCATGTTTGTTTTGCATCATAAGATAACCCCTATCTAAGTATATGGATTGATATGACTGAGAGTTTTGGATTGCAACAAAAGTCATCATAT